CAACAGCATCTCCATACTTCTTGTTTGGTATTTAAGGAGGCCCAAAGACAAAATATCATAGTCATAGGACAAAGACAACATTGGCTCGCTGATCACATTCGCCCAAACCCATCTATTTGGGAGAAACTCGTTTTCCGACTCCAATGGACGGTAGCTGTCGTTACGGAACTTCAAATCCAAGTAGACTATTCTAACACCCTTCTCGGAAGCCTGAACGCAGAATTCGGGCGCAGTCTCTTGTCCAACTGGTAAGACCTTGCACTGAGCCTCATTGAAGTTCTCTGGCTTGGCTTGGCAAGAAGAAGGAAAGAAAAGAAGCACAGAGAAAGGAGCGATAAACTTGATGGCCATGTTTTGATTATAGTCAGACGGTAATCCAAAGATGACGAGCTTTACCCACCAATTATGCAAATTAGGGTAAGACAGATCTGAGATCCGCCTGGTAATTATTAACTGTAAGAGTACGATTGAATGAATTTTCGGCAATTACTTTTTTGGCACTTTTCGGCGTCCAAATGGTATAGCGAGAGTAACCCAAAATCTTTAAGATGACTTTTTTTGGTCATAATACAAATGTTTTCCAGAGAGGTACACACGTTAATGTTAGCGGCACTATCATGCATGCTTTTTTTAAGGTTAAACCCTCGCGTGGAAGTAAAAACTCATGCTTACTTTAAAGTGCACAATGTAAGCCAAAGAAATTCCACAGTTCTCATTGTCTTCCTTCCTTTATTCTTTTTCCTACTTGATTTTCAATAAATGAAAGGTAACTTATTCGAAATAACTTAACCAATTTACGAGGTGTATCAATAATTTATAATCTCATATAGAGATATTGGTGTGTTTTTCAAATTAATTAAAAAATGATTAATTGATTGATTGGTTTTATTAACAAAAAATTTTACATTAACTACATCCTTGCACTGTGGTTTTCTTTGATGCTGCTTGAAATAATAACAAAGGCCATTATTTTACATGTAAAGGCAATGATTTTCGTATCTTTCAATTTTGCTGTTGATGTTGTTGTCGTCGTTGTTTTTCCTCACATTTATCTGTTGACCCGACAAGGATTGTGTGAGTGAGTAAAACAAATTACACTAAGCCGCTGAGCAGGTTGTTGATTGCACACGTGTGCCAAATATGCTTTTAATTTCGCCTAAAAAATTTCGAAAAGGGTGAAAGGTTGGTTTTCTGTTCCCCTCTGTCCAAAACTATAGAAGTACGAGCTAGGCGGGAGTCGCACGAAGGCATGGAGTGACCGCAGAGGAGGAGGCTTCTTGCATATATAGATTGGAAACAATGGCTACAAAATCATGGAGTTAGATAATTTTAAGAGGAACAGTGATAACTTTTGGTGAATTTTAAAGCCTTAGATAATTTTTTTTTTCCTCTATTTGAAATAAATCAGATATGCATTGGTTAAACAAGCATTTCGTTGTAATGATTCGTTTCATCGTAACACTTTTCAGTTTTATTTCAATTCTGCTTTCAAATCTGACGAACAAAGCTTCAGTTTCCCTAATTTCGATTTATTCTCACTGGCATGCAATCAAAGAAGCGATGAGCACTTTGCTGAACGCATCATAACAACAGCAACTTAGCTCAGTTCAGTTTGAAACTGTTCCGTCTGCATTGATTCAAAAATCTGCTTGTCGAAGCAAGCCGATGCGTTACTATTTGCACCGAGAAGTAGCATTTTCCAAGCGCAAATAAAGATCACTAATGTCGGTAATGATTAGACGAACA